TCATATCGAGGAGAGCTTGAATTTTCTCGAGGTTGATCTCTATTCCCCTCTGATTAACCATGCATCCAAGGAATTTTCCTGAGGACACTCCGAATGAGTACTTAAGAGGGTTTAGCTTGATTCTGTATTTCCAAAGGATGTCGAACATCTCAGCGAGATGCACTATGTGATCTGAAGCGACATGCGACTTGACCAGCATATCATCTACATAGACCTCCATCGACTTCCCGATCTGTTCGGAGAACATCTGATTAACCAGTCGTTGGTAAGTCATGCCAGCGTTCTTAAAGCCGATGGCATAACTTTGTAGCAATACAGCCCCCGATCTGTAACAAAAGAGGTATGCTCTTCGTCCGATGCGTTCATCAGAATTTGATTGTATCCCTAGTACATATCCATAAAACTCAACAGCTCGTGCCCGGAGGTGGCATCCACGAGCTAGTCGATCCTGGGCAGGGGAAAACTATCTTTCCGACATGCTTTGTTGAGGTCGGTGAAGTCAACACAGGTCCGCCACTTGCCATTGGGTTTCTTCACTAGAACCGGGTTGACAACCCAACTCGGATAGAGCGTTTCTCGGATGGATCCATTCTGAAGGAGATTATCTATCTTAAGTTTCAAGGCAGCATTTCGCTCCAGATCCATTGCTCTTCTGTCGAATCGGCTTGGCTTCACTGTCGATGTTCAAGGCATGGCAAATAATATTCGGGCTGATCCTAACCATATATGCATGCGAACACATCGATATTCTCTTTGAGGAAGCTGGTCAGTTCAGTGGCGAGCTGGGGGTTGAGATTGCTCCCAATCCTCAATACTCTGCTCGACTCGCTTTGATTGACCGACACTTCAGACAGATCCTCAACTGGCCCATTGGAAGGGCATTCCTAAATACGAGGATCTATATTATCATCGGCTGGGTCAAGCTGCAGCTCGATTCAGTTGATCGCCATTGCCTGTCGGGGAATGTCGCGCGAGACGCCCTTCCCTTGCATGCCATCTGCACTGCCCTTACATAACAGTCGTGAGATACGCGCTAAGATCCGCTAACTTCTCCTATCCCCGTTGGGGTGGGGAATTTCATCTTAAGATGGTATATCGAAGTGACCGCCTTGAAGTTTCTCAACAGAGGTCGCCCTAGGATACCATTAAAAGCGGATGGGCAATCCACTATTAAGAATTCAGTTACTTTGGTTACCTCGTTAAAGTCACCCAGCGTGACTGGAAGCGAGATCGTTCCTTTAGGGATCAGGTGGTCCCCTGTAAAACCGTATAGGGGGATCGAGGCGAGCTTCAAGTCGGCCTCGTCCAAATTCATTCTTTCGAAAGCTGTCTGGAACAGGATGTTCACAGCATTTCCGTTGTCACCAACATTTTGTGGACGTCGAAACGCCCTATCAGGGGCGTGATGATGAGAGCATCATCATGGGGATGGTGCAATCAGACTGCATCCTTTTCGGAGAAGTTGATTTCCTCCTCCCGACGAACCTTCGATGGTCGCTGCGTCGTGTTCATCACACTGATGGGGTTGTGATAGGCTGCGCGAGCATATCTTTCCTGGACACCTGGCGAGTTCCTCACAAGGTGCGGTCCTCCAAAGATTACTCCGACGCTACAGATACCCTTGCGATCACGACGCTTCTTTCCTGGTTCCCCTTGATTTTTCTCCTGCACGGGAGTGGAGTCATCAATATAATCTTTGAAATGCCCATGCTTGATTGCCTGTTTGAGAGCTCGGCACTCATCGGTGTGATGCATATTATCCCGATGAAAGTGACAGTATTTTTTATTATTTCTGACTGATGGGGGATTTTTCATGGGCTCATGCTCTTCGAGCAGGCTGGCTTCTTCTGACTTGTCAAGAATAGCAAAAACAAATGCATTCAAAGGCGTATACTGATTCATGTCGCGATCGCGACGAGAAACTGGAGCATAAGACTTTTTGGGCTCGAACCGTGGTTTCTTTCCTTTTCATTGATCGTCATTAGCCCATCTGCGATCAACTCTCCTACTTTCCCCCTCTCCTACCTTCCCCCCAACTAGGTGCACTACCTAAAGCGTCGCGGTCGTGGCTGTGGAGCGCCACCACGGAGTTTTCAATACGAAGGTATTTCTCTGCAAAGTTGTAAAAGCAGGTGAGAGAAACATCATCCTCAGCCTATAGCTCTTTCCACAGGTCAGTCTGTGGGTGAACTCCTGCTATGATGAGAGTCCAAACAAACTCTTCGGGAGTGTGAGCTACCTTATTAAGCTCTTTGTGGAATCGGTCGATGTAAGACTGGAGGGATTTATCCCTCCCTTGCCTTATGTTGCTGAGGTAGCTTAAAGGCATTGAGAACTTTCAGTTTGCTTGGAAGTGTCTCAGGAACGTCGTGCTCATCTGAGGCCACGAGCTGATCGATCCCGCTAGGAGCAACCTGAACCACCGTTTGGCATGAGAGGTTAGGGTTACTGCCAAACAACGACACTTCGCCAAGTCTGAAACCTGGTGAAGCTCCATCAGGTCATTGAATTCATACAAGTGATTTTGCATATCAGAATTTCCATCGAACACCCGCATATCGGGCATTCTAAATCTTGATGGGAGAGGGGCGGCCCTTGCTCATTTTGCTGAGCTTTTAGCTGATCTAAAGCTCATTGTAGCTCATCAATCTGAGGTAGCGGAGCTATCTAGGGATTGCTTTCTCCCATACGAGTTCGACCCTCACGATTGCGGTTGAAGAAAGTCTGGAGGTCGGATTCCTCTTCTCCTAGGTCGAAAATGTCGGTCGCTCTTGACAGACACTAGCTAGAGTCGTGTGATGGCGATGAATGGTGCGGAAAATTTTTATGACCTCCACGGTGGTACGAACAGCCCCGCGGAGTGTGGGAACCTCCCACATGATGACGATCGGGATTGTTATTCTGGCGGTGCTGAGAATCGCCTCGCCTAGCACTTTTATGGGAGTGCTCATGCGACGTGGCATGGGACGGCTCGGCATGCGACCTTTCACCGAGCCTTAACGCCACGAGTATTCTACTCGGGATGTGGTCGGTGTTTGCCAGCCCTTTGGAGCCCTTAGGCCCGCTGTTCACCAGTTTCTTACCCTTCTTTCAGCGCGTCGCAGTGCACACGGCATGGGCTATCGCCCTTTTCCATGCTTTCACACGACCTACATGCGTTTTTGGCTGTTGCACTGCCCCATTTGATTCGGGTGGCATGCCCCGGTCCAACCTTTGGTTGACCGTTTGGAGAGTATTGTTGAACCTCTCCAGGTAGCTCATGACGGCAAGGTTAAGTTGTGAGCTTGAAGGGATATCCCTCGCGGCATTTTGCAGAACCGAGGGCACCTCTAGGGAAATGTCCTCTTGTACCTGGGGGATCTCCTCATTACCATGATTGGTTCGCTCAGATTTGAATCGGCGACCCATTTGTTGTTGTAGGACCGTTTAGTCAGAGATTCTCCTGATGAAAGACGAATACTGAATCAAGCCCTCCTTCTAGCACCAAACTATTGATGTTTGATTTTGACACCAACGACTTGCACGTGGGAAACGCTGAGCTGACTCAGGAGACACACATGAATGAGGGATTGAGAATGTAAATGGTGAAAAGACAATGTTTAAAGTGGTTCGGATGCTTAAACAAGCGAATCCTATTTATATTTGAAGGATCAGGTCGCGACTTAGCGAGCTGACTTTTAGAGTATTGAGAATACAAATGAGAGAGAGACTAAGCTATTACAGAGAGAAGATAGCTAATCAAGGGTAAAAATGAACGAATCCCACAAACGAGAGAGAAACTCTTTATTTATAGTGGGATACATTGAGGTAATGATTACTGAATCTGTAAAAAAGGGTTAGGTACCGTGCAAATCCTTCCTTGTGTCCCGTTGTTCACCTACTCGAGTGATTTCCTCGGTTCATGTAGGGATTGGACACGTGGACAGCCTCCAGCCTCTCGTCAGTCTAGCGCACACCCACTACACTGGCAGCAACATACTGCTCACGCCAGCATGTGACATGGCCGCGCCTGAATGGTTGTAGGATCTGCCTAGACTCTGACCATTTGTGCTGACTGGGCTCTGCATCAGCCCTACTTTTCAAGGCATAACAAAACGCAAGAATGAAAAAAAGAATTTGCCTTTCTAAAATATAGATATAAAGCTGTAATACGAAGTTGAGTGCATATTGATATGAATTAAGACGTTAGTGATTAAGCAATTAGGGACAGTCTTAGCAAATTTTGAAACCTTTAGTTGTGCTCCCTCCGCTGCTAAAGCTAAGTCCATTGTGCAGGTTTTACCAGTACAGTATTTGGGTTTTGAGTTTCACATATTTCTCTTAAAATTTGGTCTTAAATAGATAAATAAGAAGAGAACCAACACCTCTGATTGAATAAAAAAATTCATGAGGCAGCAAGGTTCTTCCACTTAAGTAGAGAATAGTCATACTTCTGTTTCTTAGTTGCAACGTTTTCCCGATTGGTTTGGCCATAAATCTTAAGTGGAAACAACATTTATAAAGATCATGGTCATGGTTTCAGTTTTTGTGAGTAGCGACTCAAAGGGGATTGCAGGCAAAACTGGTAAAAGAAAGGGGCAAAAATTTCTTCTATGATTTTGCAACAGAGATTGTAAGTTTTTAAAAGCCAAACAATGACAAGAACGTTCCCTCTTTCTAGTTTTCTTGCTAGACTGATCCTCAATGTCCCCTTACAGAAAGACTAAGTTACAGCAAGATCATACAGTCAAGACATTTCTAGATGTTGGGAAAAATGCATATTAGTTCTGGCAGGGCGGGCTGCAAGTGAAAATGCATATTAATTCCGGCAGTGGGGGCTGCAAGTGAAATATGTAATGAAATTTAGTTTGATCCTTATAGAAAGTCAGTACACATATGATAGCATATAAGACTATTTAATTAAACATTCTCATCACATTAACAAAAAATGAATGGCTGCGCAATCCAGGTAAAAAATTTCTCATGTCTTAGGAATGGCAATCTTCTATGAAGATAAATACTTCTTTAGAAATCATTGGTAGACTAATGCAATTCAGAAAGTATGACAATCAGCAGACTGTGCCCCCTCAACAAACTATTCTTATAGTTCCATGCCTCAAAACATTTTAGGAGCTCAGGATCACACATGACACGACACATAATTCATGCCATCGATCTCTCGGCACAACAGAATACCCTCAAGCTTTCACTGATGATGGTTAATGAGGAAATACAAGGCTCTATAGTTTCACACAACACTCCCCTTGAGACATGTTAGTATGCCATGAAACTACTGGTGGAACAAATAATGCATGAAAAGTTGCATTCATATAGCTAAGTGTGTAGTCTTTTGCAACAATCTCAGGTGGACTTTGATTTTCTTTGTGAAAATGACCGTCTTGTTGATAGGGGATATATGACCTCCCAAATATTGTGAAACATTCCTTTATCATATACGTTATTCTTAACAACCACCTCGGCATCTTCTAGAGGGGATCGTCGAAAAAAAGCTTTCCACTTGCTCTCTGGAAGCTTGCTTTCACTGCTCATGCCACTTATACTTGATTTAAGTGCTGCAGCACTTGCCCTTGCTTCATTTAGCTTTCTCCGCCAGTTTATGTAATCTTGCCACTTGAAGGTCTGTGGTTTAAGTACATAACCATACATTAATTCACAGTTTCAGTAATGAGAATCTTGCTATGTAATGTTACAGACGTGAATGTAAGGAAAATAAAACTATTCGACAACGTTACCTCATTTGTTGTTGTATTTGTCCGACAAAGGTTGGCATGATACCCAAAGAAACCCGCCAGTAAGAGAGAGACAATGGCAAGAAACACCATAAGTAGTATCTGAGTGTTATATGAGCCCAACAACCACTATTACACACCAAAAAAAAAAAACATTTATCAAATAGCCAAACCAGGTATGTCATGGCATCAACTTCTAAATGACAATTGTGATAGCCACTAAAAGACTCCAATGCACATACACAAACATAACCATCACTAAGAGCCAATCAAAGTAACAATATTCTTGACATCTAAAAGGAGAATGAATGCTTTTTTAAGTAAATTAAGGAAATCTTCTCAATCACCTCAGAACTCGAGTCAACAAACAAGAGACACAACATTCTTCTTGCAAACAGATAGAAGAATGATCTCCTAGATTTTAATTCTAGGGTAAATCAGGAATATATTATGGGAAAAACTTTCGAAACTTCCACATGCCATTGGAAAAAGCTATTCTCTTAAACTGTTCCAAAACACAAGTTTTGGCTTACGCTTCAAAAGACAACTTCAGATCAGAGAAGGTGTGAAAGAGAAAATTACAATTCTCACCTGTACAACATGCGGTGCTAAGCTGTAAAAAGAATTTTCTATGCCATAATAAACTGCAAAAAAAAGATAAAGAGAGGCAAGCCGCAATAAGACTTATAAGCAAATGTCTAACAACTAGATGATTTTAAAGTCAAATCATCTTTACCTGTCAGAATATATACAACTCTTAATTCTTTCAATCGACCAGCAAGAACCAATCCAATAGCAATGGTCCCATATAAACAAAGAAGGAAATGCCTGCAAAACACTAATGAAGCATTTAACATAATAAATAAACAAACAACAGAGCTGTAAAGATGAGTTTGACCCCTATTATTCACAAAAAACTAAAATATTTATATCTTCAAAAACCAACCTAAAAATGAATTATACAAGCAAATGAACAAACAAAATGTCAGACTAAACGGTCCCAACCAAAACTTACATTGTTTGCTGATAAAATAAATTTTTGATAAATCAAAAAGCACTCACCATAAAAGAAAAGCCAAGAAGTATCGGGTATTTCTCTCCCCTATACAATTATTCTGCAATAGTAAAGAAACTTCAAAAGAAACCAAAAAATCTAATAATTTTCAATATATAACTAAAATGGTTTAAGATAATGCGAACCATCCATCCACAATGGTGGTCAAATCGGGCAACACACCGACCACATATGCCGCAGTGTTTGGACCTAGCAGGCCTGAAGCAGAGATTCAATGAAGAAGTCCCATCATTACAAATAAAAGAGAAAACTTCTGAAGAGCATGTGTACAAGGAAAAACAATGAACTCACTTTGGAATTTTACAAGTAGAACATTCTTTATCTGTGAATATAATATTGTCATAGGGATAAGCAGAGAGATACTGGGAAACATTTTCTGCATTCACAGTTCCTGCATCAGTAAAGCTAGTCAACAGGAAAAGTAGAATCCCGACACCAACTCCCAACAAGCCTGTGTACCTGGAAAAACATCCAAATAGATGACTAAGTTCACAACAGAACACATGGAGGAAATTGTAATGCCATTAAAAGAGTAAGCACATCCATACACGGCATGTTACCTGTGAATTCCACTTAAATAATATCCAGGAATATAGCTAAAGCATGACTTTGCAATAAAATAGTAAGTCCCACCAATTATTGCCAAATAAATTATCTGCAGTTAAAGATAAAGTTTAACAAAAGCTTGACCATGTGCCATAACAAGAAAGCAAAAACCAGTTATATATTAGATCATAAGCATAAGAAACAGTTAACGTCATAATTTATTAGCAGATTTATGACAAGCTCATTTAGAGGAATGCCCTTGTAACCCCTTGCTTAAAGGAAGATGAACTAAAATTTCTTCAACATGTAGTAGAATTTTAACATCAAAATCTAAGTGTGCTAAGGCCAAGCCTGATTACCCAAATGCCGAAGAAAACTAATGGTGCACCTTGGATAATTGTATCACCAATTGAAGCGCTTCAAATACCCAATAGAGCATTAATACCTATCTTCTTCATGCTGGATAAAATACAGGAAAAATTACATTTTTGAGATCAAAAGAGAACTTCAATTGTTTTTGGAGAAGTACTAAATAGATGTTTTCTTAAAAGTGCTCAAGTAAAAAAGTAGTGATTTGCGAAGAAGCACATGATAGGTGATTTTCTTCACAAAGCATGTATAAACGCTTTAACAAATAGAAGTTTTACGAAAAAGAACTTCAAAATACATCCTTAAATGATTCTTAAGCACTCCAAAGTACACCCTAAAACAATACTCACTCGTCACTAAAATCCCGAATTATCTCGTCAAAACAGTATCATAAATCCTTTCCAAAGAAGCACTTGATAGGTACTTGTTTCTTAAAGCACTTAATAGTGCTATAATAGACAACATTTTTACTCAAAAACACTTCCTACAAGAATACTCTCAAAATCACCCTAATGATACTCACTCTGTCACTCATCACTCAAATCCTGAAATTCCCTTGTCAAAACACTATCATTAGAATCATTTCCGAAGAAGAACTTCACAGGTCCTTTTTTCCTTAAAGCACTTATAAGTGCTTATTAGATAGCATTTGTACTCAAACGAGGTTCCTACAGAAGCACTCTCAAATACACCCCAATACCATACTCACCCATCACTAGACCCCAAAATCCCCCCCTAAAACACTATAATTCAAGTCAACACTTTCCGTTTCAAAACAAACATGTACAAGAACAAGCTCCAAAACACCAAAATCAACAAAATACACTACAATCCCAATTACGAATCCATGTTTTATTCAAATTCATCAAATAACTAACATGCACGAATAAATAAACAAAAACAAACCTGTAAAATCGGGTTAGGCCGATCGCAACAAAAATGCTCAACCGAAAGAATCGCATTAGTCCCCTTCTCCCCACATACGAACCCAACAAACCGGCTACAAAAATAAAAAAATAAAAAATAAAAACCCAGAAATAAAATCATCACAGCGAATCAAAACCCGAAAAGGAGACAGAATGTGTAAGTGGGTCCGTACAGAAAGTAATCGTAGGCGCCAAAAGTGAGAAACCGGTGGACGCGTTCGATGGGGGTGCCTTTAAAGATGGGCCATTGGCCACAAAGGAAAGAGACGACAACTAAGGCCGTGATGAGGCCGTGAATTATGAGAACCCACATGCTTTTTTGCTTTGGTTTAGCGAGACTGCGAGAGAGAGTACGAGGTGTTTAGACGAGCATTCAGTTTTTGTCAGTTTTGTTTGCCTTTGACTTGGTGCATTGGGGACGGCGTTTGACTTTGACTGTAGTTTCAGTTTTAGTTATTACTGTATTTATATTTTCCCTGAAAGGAAAACGAAAATCAAATTATATTGAAGAATTTTCTGGTAAATTTAGTAAAATAATTAGCTAAAGCCAAAAAAAAAAAAAAAATGCAAATACAGAATACTAATATTCAAGAACTTACAAGTAAAATAATTTAATCTTATTAATTATTTATGAAGGTATTTCTAAAATTTAAAAATCCTAATATTCAAGAACTTACAAGTAAAATAATTTAAATACTAATATAATTTCAAATTAATTAATACATTAAATTAAACCCTTTTATTTAACAGGATGTCGAACGATCTTGCACACCTCGAGTAATCTTGTAATGATGTGCTTAAATCTTGAAAGTCTTGAATTAAACCCATAAAGGACTAAATAAATTCATCTTCACTTGATATTATTTTGAGATCAGTCATCAGCGTGTGTGTAGCAAAAATTTGCTGCAGAATAACAAATCTGAACTTCACTCAAAACTCAACACAAGTGAACAGCTGAACATTACTGATTCAAGAACTACTACTTTTGAAGAAGAGACTAATCAAGTAAATCCATTACTGTAAATCTATAACGTAAATTTTCACATTCTCTATACATGGCTATGGTAAAATCTCATATGCTAAATGTGACAAGTTGTAATTCACAAGTGGAGGCAATTTGGGGATTAATTAGAGTAAGATGGCCAGTATTTTATATTGCTGGACAATGGACATCAACTTTGAACCATTTGGAACTAAATGTCAGATTCATCTATGGTATCTTCTATAATGTCAATGCAGGATGCTACAGATTTTGCCATGGACATGGCTTCAGCAAGTTTGGCCCGAGCTGCTTCGTGGCGGCGCAAAAGTAGGACTGTGTTTAGTACAGCCCATCTGACTTGAGAGTCTGCTTTCTTCTGTGTGAAGCCTAAGCCTTTAAGTAATGAATCCAACTGTTTCATAATCACACTAGCTCAATTAGTAATGTTGATACTTGCATAGTTCTATCTCTTTTTGGATGAAATAGATTTTCATGGATAGGTTTTGAGTAGAAAATTGAGGAGAGGAAATGTATGAACCTTGTTTATATCAGCAAGGCCACCCTCAGCATATCCATATAATAGATATTCCGTCGCCACGCCTGCTAACGCTATACATGAGAATCTGTTCAACGTCTGATAAGATATAATCAACCTTTAAAATTTTCTCATGTTTCAATAGAATAAAATAAAATGGTGTTTCAAGAGCAGCATACAACTGAAATTGATAAGTTGTCAACAAGCAGGAAGGAAAAAATGTGACAAGATGTAAACATACCGTAGCTGATACTTTACCAGAATTAACCTGCATGGCATGAGAAATCACACAATTAAAGAACAATAGAAAACCTATAACTATTCTAACATTGAGATGTTCAACCAGAAAGAAAGTGCCTAGTAGTTTTGTATGGTAGCTAAAGTTTCTGCTGGTTGAATTGAGTAGAGGAATTATCATTTGCAGAGGGGGATAAAACGGTAGATTGGAGTGTTAATTGCAAACAACTAGCAATCAAACTCATTCAGTAATTTTTCCAGATTTCACAGCTCAAATAGTTTGCCTCTCTTGACAGGTTAGGATTTTAGTTTAGCTACTCTTCACTAGTGAACTGAAACTGGATAAATGTGGACACAGTAAAATCGCTTAAAATGCATAGAGCCTAAAAAAGGGGATCAAAGTATACTAGACAAGGCAAACCCAAGCAAGAAATAATAGGACACCTACAGAAGAAAGTCTACCAAAGAAAGTAATATATTATAAGAACTTACTTCTTCAAGAAACTCGAAATCCACAAAAGCAGTTCCTGCTTGAACATTGAGTGATCCTTCTTTCTGAAGAGCTTCCAAACTAGATAGTGTATACCCTTTGGGAAGAATACCCACCAAGTATGCAATTAAGAAATGACCAGCTTCATGCTGCAGAAAAGATCATAGTTACATAATTTTGTGGAGAACAATCTCCATTATGCAATGCAAAGTATTCAGACCAGTCAGCTGGAGTTAATATTGATGAAGTACATATGTTCTGCAAAAATGTTAGAAAGAGACTTCTTTGAACATATAATAGCATGAGAAACAAGAAGTGAGATGGATTTCCATGTCACTGTGGTCAAAAGATACACAAAATTAAATAAGAGAGATCAAGAGATGTTTCTTACTTGAATAACCCTGTTGTGGTACTTCTGGCTAAAAGTGTGACCAATTGTGTCAAGAACCAAACTGCCAACTCCACCATTAAAAGAAACCTACGGAAAACCAATATGATTACTACACCAACAAATCAATAGACTAGGAACTCTCCTCCACTATAACTGATCAAGAAATATTTGAATCAACCAATATCCCTAGTTCATGAATAAGCAGTGAAAGAGAAAATTACATAAAGAAATGGGTTTGGAAGACACGGATTAAAGTAAATTACCGAGTCCAACGTCCAGAAAAACAACAATGCTAGAGACAAATAAAATATCTGTTGCGGACTAAAACCAAAAACATTCCATGCCGCAATTCCTCCTACAGCAGCAGCAAGCTGCAAATTCCGTTCAATCGAACCAAGAGTTTGATCCACCGGTGACAAAAGAGACACCGCTTCTATTCCGTTCAGCTTCAATTCATCTAATGTATAGAGCCTTTGAGGTACCTGCAAATCTAATTCACTCTGCGTAAGAAGCCCACATGTCTAATTTATCCATTTAACTAATTTATTCAGTGAAAAAGGGTATCAGAATCAGACTAAAACAAACCTGACGAGCAGCTCCGAAACATCGAAGGCCACCGGGTTTTCCTTGAAAATCCTTGACTAAAGCAAGAGCCGACCTCTCATCTCCCTTGCTTAGCTCCTTATCAACTTGCTCCAACACTTGTCGTTTAGAGATTATTCCAATTTCAGATGAACTAACAATTCTGGTAGTAAATGAGAAAGCTCTGGCCTCTGGACGTGAATGCAAGAAACACAAGTTGTTGTAAACCAAAGTGCCCATTCAACTCAGAGAAAATGAAAAATATTAAATAATTATGAACAAAATTATGTATATATAAAGAGGAAAAATAACGGTAACCAGTAATACATTGACAACTAACCTGACGCCACGTCATCATTCAGATAACGAACAAATATGAAACGGTGACGTTTTTGTTATAGATAGATTGTTTCTCGATAACCTAACGGAAATTTTGCAAAGAGAAAGAATGAACTTGGCGGTGAGTTCTCAGCTCGGACGAGAACTACTGGTGACTGGAAGGGAAGCTGATTTTGCAATACGGCGTCGTCGAGCTCTGAAAAGAGTTGACAAAGAGCTTTCGAGAGGCAATTTTAAAGCTGCTCTCAATCTTGTGAAGCAGTTACAGGGCAAGCCCAAGGGTCTTCGTGGCTTCGGTGCCACCAAACAGGTCGTCTCTCTCCCTCCCTTGAATTTCGTCCAGGTGTGAATTTTTATGTATTAATACGTACACTTGCGTTTTTGTGTAGGTTCCTAGAAGGTTGATATCGATGGATGAATTAGAGCTAAATGCCGTGGAATTATCATCTATCAGATCGTTGTTTGATTCGGTTATGGATTCAATTGAAAGTTGTAGTCGGTTTGATTCATTAGATGAGGTGTGGTTATTGATTTTTAATAGTAGAATGCAGCTTTCTTAATCTATCATTTTACAGTTCATTAATTATTGTTGGGTTTGACTGATAAATTAGAATTATAATGCAAAAACAAAAATGACCTTTTTTTCATTCTCTGATTTCACATTAGTTCTTAGGATAATATCTTAAAACTTTGTTCCCGGAAATTTATTGTATCCTTTAAAAAGAAAAAAGGAATTTAAAATCCATAATGTACAGTGTGTCATTTCTTTGCAAAACAAGCTAGGCATAATGTACTATTCTAGAGTTTTTATGCGGGAAATGTAACTTTCATGTCAATTTTGAAGTTTAAACCAGTGAATGTTTGTTTCATGGCAGGTCCTTACGAGATTTCAGTATTGACTGAGTTTGCTTATTTCATTTGTGAAATGTTTGAACTTCCATTTGTTTTTAAAAGTTCCTAATAAGTTACAAGATGGCTTGTTCTACTTTTTCTTTAACAGGTTCCAAGTGATAGGGTTGAAAGCTTGGTGGAAGATGAAGGCTATGAGTCTCTTTGTGAAGAGGATTATTCCATGTGCATGCAAGTAAGATGAACCACTACCAGGAGTTTAAAATGTGTTGCAAAAATTGTATAATTATGAAAGACAAGTAAGAGTTTTTCTTACATTTATCACTGAAATTAGTGCTGTTGAGATGACCAACTGCTTGCTGGCTTTCCTTTTGATCCAAATGTAACCAGTTTATAACTATAAAAGATATGTAAAATTCGGCCACCCTGCAATTACATATCGGTGAATCTGAAGCTGAATATACTGTATTGTTGGTAAAGTTAATTGGGAAACATATTGCGTAGATATTTTTAATGATAAACTATCATTTAGATTGTTATTTTAACCGCAGCCTTTAATACGGTATATTGTATATGTATATGTATATATGTATGTTTCTTTTCATAATCTCTTTCGACAGGGTATGCTTAACATTGTAAGATATACTTGAACAGCATGAAGCTGGTCATTTTCTTGTTGGCTACTTGCTAGGGGTTCTTCCCAAAGGTTATGAGGTACCAAGCACAGAAGCTCTGAGGCAGGATGAATTCGCTGCCGGAAGAGTAAAATTTGTGGGTTTTGAATTTCTTAAAGAAGTAAGTGTGCTGTTGTCTTCTGCAGAAAATTAGTTGACTATAGTTGCTTGTATTTTCTTATATACTCAGTGAATATATGGCCAATTGTTTCTGTATCCTTTTTTCACATGTGTTGAGCAAATCATTATTGGGTTGTTGTTGTATGGATGATTGGTTTGTCACTGAAAGTTTCGATTGCTTGAATCATCGCTGTATCTTATTCTGTTTAATGTGTAGGTTTTAAATTATCTTGGATTTCAAGACTTTCCATGCCATGCAGGTTTATATTCCAAGGATGCTAAAGACAGATATTGGTCAAGTAAGCAATAGGGTAAGATACTGAGACATTTCTTTTCTCTGTGGCATTGCACAAGGTGCTCTCCTTTATATTGCATACACTTGTAATTCTTGACTGTCAATTATTTAGCACTGTGTTTTTTTCAGATTCAATTTTTTTCTCTTTTTTGCTAATATATAATTGCAATTATTTCTATTTCCACCACCATCATTGATCAAGTATTCTTCGATAGCTTTATTTTCTTCTTCTATTTTAATCATGAAATGAGCCCTATATTAGTTTGGTTTTCATTATGCACCCCGGAAAATATTTTCTCTTAATCTGGTTGTCAAGTAATTGTGTGGCAATTTTAAGCTGAAGCTAGAGTGTTGAAAGCCTAAGTAGAGGGGAAATTTCAATTTTCATTCAAGGTGTAAAGCTTTGTTTTTGGTCTCGTTCTTTATGAGTACCACATACACCTTTTGTGCTTTCCACTACTTCTTTCTGTTATGGTAACCTCTCAAGGGTTTCACAAAGAGTGCTAGAGTGGAATAAGAAAAGTGGGTTGAAACTTGAAAACAATAGCTCTACTCAAATTCATTAATTACTCAAGTGTAGAAACTTAGTGTTAAGTTATTGGGGGGTCAAATGGACTGTTTATCCAGCATCAAGGTTCCCACACTTTATTCCTTAATTAAACTTAAAAAAGGCGTCCCTAACAGCCTGTTTCTCGATCATGAATGGGTGCAGATTTTGAACAACTTTTCATGCATAATTTTAGGAGGCTTAGTGGCAGCACACTTGGTATTTGGATGCTCAAAGGGCCATCATTCTGATATTGACAAGGTCTGAGTTTTGCTTGTCATGATACTTCGTATGAGTTATATGTGCTAACTGCTTGTCTCTTATTATGGTATAGCTGGAAAGAGTATTCAAATGGTTGGGCTACAGAAAGGGTGAAGCTATCTCTCAAGTGAAATGGGCTGCTCTGAACACCGTTTTAATTTCACATCGCAACAGTGAAGCTAGATCAAGACTAGCCAAGGCCATGGCAGCCGGAAGATCAGTCTGCTTATGTATCGAAACTATAGAAAACGCCATACATGGAAAAGAAATCTAGCTAATTTAAGGATGACACGTTATATTATATTTTACTGAGTTGCATATTCTACCTAGACGGCAAGGCAGAAACAGCTTGCAAGGGTTTTTACTTCAATGATGAAAGCTCTCACCCACTGCCATCCTCTTGCCTTTTTTGCTTATTGGAAGGATATTGATCGAACTGGTTGATTCAATAACTTAAACTCTAAATCCTAAACCTTTTTTGGCCCTGAAGTTAACCTTTCTGTCGTGTTTTGATAGAGCTTTGTGAAAGCTCCAGAACTGTCTACCATTCATCGACTTCATAAACAAGAGATGGACAGGAAAGTTGTGGAAGCCAGACAAAACAACACGAAGTAAAGCAAAAAATTCCAGTAAACAATTAGGAAAAAAGGTAAAATATCTCATGGGCATATTGATTAATCACAAAGCTACTTATGAAACCTGAACATATCAAAATCCATGTTGCCAGCTAACCAAAAATCCCATCATTTTTTTTTTTTTTTTATATTACAAGGGCGTAGAGAGAAATAAATATTAGTAAACCCTAAAAAAAACAAACTAGAACTCCTGAGAAGCAGAGCCAATATCTCCCTTTCCTTTGCCCACCTTCTTGGGAAGCAGAGTCTGGTGAATGTTGGGCAAAACACCTCCATTAGCAATTGTAACTGAGCCCAAAAGCTTGCTCAGCTCCTCGTCATTCCTCACAGCCAACTGGATGTGCCTCGGCACAATACGATTCTTCTTGTTATCCCTCGCCGCATTTCCAGCAAGCTCCAATACCTACAATAAACCAAAACCAAAAATTGGAAATCATTAATTTTACAAACGACTTCTAAAAAAGATTCAACCCACAACAAAAAACAATATTTATACAATTTGGTAATCAATGACACCCAAACAGTAATCAAAACCTAATCATTTAGGTACAATCAAACAAAATCAAAACAGAGAACCCAACGAGAAAAATTATTTACGGAAAAGAATTATACCTCAGCAGCGAGGTACTCAAGCACGGCGGAGAGGTACACGGGAGCTCCGGCACCGACACGCTCGGCGTATTTTCCGGCTTTCAAAAACCTAGCAATACGACCGACAGGAAACTGAAGCCCCGCCTTATGGGACCGCGACACCGACTTCGATGCCTTCGGCTTGCCTCGGCCTCCCTTTGTTGTACCGCCAGTAGAACTCATCCTTCTATCAAAAATTAAAATCCTAACCCTAGCTTTCGTTTAGATTGATTCTGTTCAAAGAGTTGATGCCAAACAGAGTGTGAGAAATGTTTAATTTTGAGAAATGAAAGTGGCGTGATGGTTTATATAGGAACTGTTATTGTGTTGTGATTGGCTCAGTGGATGGTCACGGGGATCGCCAACGTGGCACAAAAATTTGGGGTTAGCGGGAAGATGTGTGCTAGTTAGGAGCGGTGTTTCCCGGGCTGATTTTTTTAAGTTTGGGGTGCTATAAAACGACGTCGTTGAAGTTTTGAATTTATTTATTCTACATTAATTAGCCATTATATATTGAAAGCCCATCAAATGACAACAGAAGCCCATTGGGTCATTGGTTTCTGGCCCATTGGGCCATTGGTTCAGTTGATGGTCATGCGGTGTTTCCCCGATTGGTTTTTTTAAGTTTGGGGTACTACAAAACGACATCGTAGTAGTTTTGAATTTATTTATTCCATTTAATAAACAATAAATATTAGTTCACAACTCAATCTCATAAACTCTCTCTTATAACCCAACTCTTACGTAAAAGTTTCCAGTTTTTTGTTGATGAATTTTTAATTTTGAAAAATTCATCAGCAAAAAATTGGGAACTGTCATCTCGAGTTGTGAGATTGAGTTGTAAAAATATAATATTGCCCTTTCATAAATTGAAAGCCCATCAAAAGACAAGAGAAGCCCATTGGGCCATTGGTTTCTGGCCCATATCAGGAGATCTGAGCCATTGATTAATACGTGGGCCATAGAATCAATTCAACAAGGCTGGATCTGGGCCATGCATCTTCTGTTTGAGAATTATTTGTCCCATGAACTTGGTACAATTACCTTAGGAACTATCATGTCAAGTCAACAATTTACAAGTGACAAATTTTGGTAATGCCCATCAAGTTATCATTCCATATTAATGTCATAATTAATTATGATTTGTTAATATTAGTCACCTTATCATTACCCCTTCCTTAACCAAGAAAATAAACCATACTTTAATTATTAAACGTGTTCAACGATAGTCTAGAACTAGTATTCTTTGTCGTTTTAATATAATTTTACGTGAAACAATCGACAAAATGATTATTTTTGATGTAATATGATATTAACTTTCACTTTAAAAGAAAAAGGGTTTAGTGAACTCTCATAATCAAAACCTCCTTAAAAATCACATATGGATGTGAAAGAAATTATTTAACCATTACATTACAAATTTAGATCTAGATCTAGTTCTAATTTATGCCCTCGTAAGCACATGACCTCATTAAATGCATTGTTATTCATATTATGACTCGCTCTGCTCCAAAAACATCAAGTTTTTAAACTGTTGAAACAGAAAATCGCACTAACTAAAGAAATTCGATTAACCTTGAGGGAATCGAATCAAAATGCCGCGTGATTTTCCAAAAACATGCAAATGCAACTGAAAAATCTTGAGCCCTGAAACAGTATTGTTAAGATGAAAAGGGAAAAGGGGAAAAGGATTTTGCTTAAATGTGTTGATACCTTTGGCAATTGCCCAATTGGTAGATAGCTTGATGGATGGAGATTTTGAGGTCTTTATCAAAATATAACTTTCCAGCAACAAGAGAAAAAAAAAACCAAAAGCATTTTTCCAGACTACAGCTTTTGATTCCAAAACAGCTATTTGTGAGATTCCTCCGCTTATTATTCATCATAGAATTTCATCATGTGTCAGCACTATGCATGCTTGCTGAAATCTCCAGTGGAAGGAATCTGCAAACAGTTCCTTATTTGGGCCCTCTCATCCAGTTTTCATCCTCCTTTTGGTTTATCAAAAAAAAAATAATAATAATAATAATCCAAATAGTTGTACAATGACTCTTGGGTATATTATTCAAGAGATTCTGAGTTTAAGTCACCTGAATTGTTAATATAGATATCCATTAGAGGGTATATTTGGTCATTAACTTCAGAGTCCTGAGGGAGAGTATACCTGATCATTAATTTCAAGGCCTCATGGGAGGTTATATTCGATTGTTAACTTCTGGGGCTTAGGAGATTAGTCGACGTGCACACAAGCTGGCATAGAGAGCCTCAGTCACCAAAAATAAGAAATAAAATAACTCCCCCTCACTTATAATCAAATGACAAAAATCTCATATAATTATAATAATAACATAAATCCTTACGTTGCAGTCTTAAAGTAAACGGTAAAATGACAATTCTGTAAATATTTATCAACTCATCATGTTATAAATTCTAAACGGCATACTAACGGCAGAGAAATTTTTATTATTTCTGAAAAATCAGGGGGATTTATTTTACAACATATCAAAATATATTTGATACTTCATAAGAACAAAATAAAATAAAAATGGTAATAACATAATGCTTGGATTTAGGCTGTTTTGATTAAATAAGGTAAAAAAAGGGAAGCTAATGTTAAAACATAAAGTATAAGGGTAAAATTAATTTTTTTTTTTTTTTTTTAATTCTAAAGTTCAGTGGGGGCTCATGTCCTCGCTCACCACTTTCGTGGCTAATTAAAAAATAAATAAATAAATAAAAGCACATAATTAATTAACACACAAAATACAAACCCCACACGTTTGGTAACAGTCTAAGATTAGAATAGTCTAGTGATACCTAATGATTGCCACCCAAAAATATATCTCTTTCTAATTACAGAAATTTACAACCACAAAATATAATAAAAATAAAATTCCTTCGTCAAAATTTCAATCATTGAGTATTGCCAATTTAGCAATCATATTAATTGTACACGGCTCTAATAATTAATGCGACATTAACACCCCCAATATTATTGTTTTCTTCCTCCATCACCCTCACAATTCCATCTTCTCAATAATTACAATACCGGTCATGTAATGTTATCTCATCCCCCACATGTATACTATTTGATTGTCGTAATTCGTGTGTCGTAATCTAAGAAATTCGACTGGATTAAGATTACGTTGCTTAAATCCTTTAATAATGATATTTAAAACTTTAGTTAATTTGAAAGGTCATGTTTTGAGAACGATGTTTGAATGTTGCAAGTAATTATATTTTACCAAATTATCCTTATACGATATTTTGCGATTTTTTGTATATTGAGAATGTGTGTATATAAGTACTTACGTATCAAATATATCTCTTGGATATACTCTGAATTCAAGTCTCTTTAATTATTTCTTTTGCCCTATCAAAGATATTTTTCAGACATGCTTCGAATCTCTTCAATTGTCACTCTTACCCTTTCAAACGTATCTCTCAAGCATATTTTGGTTTTCTTCAATAATCTTTCTTGCCTTTTCAATTGTGACATGGCTCTCTTTAATTTTATCTCTTACCCTTTCAATTCAGACATATTTGTTTACCCGCATTTGTAGGGCATAGAGACCAAGAGAGACAACAAATACAATTAAGATATTTTTCTATAAGGGCAATTGATTTGGTGAAATTTGGTGCATATACACTTGAATAGCATATTAACATATATAACAAAAGCAAAGAAACGAGGAAGAAAGATGAGACGGTATTTTAACTACCTCTAAATAATTTGACGGTTTGCTTGAGACTCTTGAGTGTACTACTTAAAGAGATCCTGAATTTGAATCTTTACGATTATTAATAAGAAATAGCCATTGAAGGTTTACTAGATTCCGACCACCATTATTGGAAGATGATCGAAATCTGGTGTAATAACGCACTATCGACTGAATCTGACCGGTAGTGTGTTGATCTAGCCTTTTTCGACCAAGATATGATTGTCGTTGATGACCAAATGTGGTCAGATCTAGCCATCAATAGTTAGATCTAGCCGTAGATCAATGGATCTGATCAGAAAATATCATATCAGTGCATGACCAGCAAGTGTTGATACGGTGACTCTGACCACCCTTTGATAATGGTGGCCGACTATCCGTATTTAATAGATGAATTAAAGGTGTTTTTGTTAATTTTTAATATTTTATTATAGAAGTGTTTAGTAAATAAATAAATATAGAAGATATTTTTATTAATTTTAAAATTTTATATTGTAATACCCACTCAATCTAAACTTTTGTCGAAATATTATCTTATCTAACCAAACGGACCCATATATTTTGAACGAGAAAATTAAATTAAATTAAAAACTAAAAAGAAAAAAGTTAAAACAGAAGAAGCCAAAACCGGTTCCTAATTGTTGACCCATACGCCCAATACTTCCAAAAAAAGCACTGTTTACTATGGGGGCTACCTTAATTATAATAAAAATAATAATAGTAAAGTCATCAGTCGTCACCCAAAGCTGCTTCTGCTTCTGCGATTGTGAAGTAGTTGACAATGACTTTGGCATTACACTTTTCTTCTTCTCTTCTTCTTCTTCTTCCACATCAGACAAATTTCAATTATTTCTTTTCAAACATATGCCATTTTATATTCTCCTCTCTATTTTTTTTATTTTTTTATTTTTAAATCAAACTTATGGACCGACATTCTCATCCCTATTTATACATGGTGAAAAGATCTTGGCATGGTTCCTTATCACATAAAAAGAAAAAGAAAAAGCCCTACTAAAAGATTATTGTAAGATAAGCACAATTAAATAGAAATCATAAACAAATTTAATATACTAAAGATTACTGAGGAAACATGGAATAAGTTTTGTCAACTCGATTCGACATAATTTGTCAACACCTTTAACCTAACTCGACCAAACAATCGTGTCGAGTCATGCATGACCTAATATGACAAAAAGTTTTATGAGAAAATTCTCGTGTTGATTCGACATTTCGATTAGATTTTAATCATATGCATCTTCATTTAGGATATTTTTTCTTTAAAAATATCTATACTAATGGCTTACTAATCCAATGATTTAGATTTTTTTTTTTAATGATCGAGGTGTCTGGATCAGCTTGCGCGTATCTCAATCTAATAATTTAGATTAGGGATGGGCACGGGTTGGAGACCACTGTCTTCGACCTTGGCCTAAAGCCCGTTTTATTTTTGTATCTTTAGTTTTATTATCTTTTTCTTCAAATTATATATACCAACAAAAAAAAAAAAATTTAAATATATAATATACATATTAAATGTAAAGATCATATCATCAAAAAATAAATTAAATCTAT